AAGTTGGTCATGAACCCAGTCGATTCTATCCTTGCGCGCTGCCCTCTTGGCTTTGTTTCTTTGCGTTTTCCAATCTTCGCGACCTTCCGCTTGCGCTGCCCGTGCCTGGGCCAGGAGCTGTAGGGTGTGATCTTTGATCCATGGTGTGTGCGCGCGTCGTTCTTTGTAAGGAAAGTGATCCGCCGCAGCCTGCTTCATGGCGTGCACCATGGTCCGCTGACATGGTGGGGGTGTGGTCCTGGGGCGGAGTGTCCGGGGGAACCATGTTACTTCCGCCGTTGCGCCCCTGTGTACGCCCAGCGTTGGCGAGCGCATCCGCCTTTTCGTTACCTTCGGTGCCTGCGTGCGCCTTGACCCAATGAAACGATACTGTCATTCCTGTTTGTGTTGAGAGTGTGTGTGCACGGCCAACTAGTGTTTTATGTGATTTTGCACGCCATCTGCCCGTGATGACGTTGATGGCCCACTGGCTGTCCGAGTATATATCTACTCTACCGCACCCTTGCTCCAAGGCGTATAATAGTGCCTCTATAATAGCTGTCAGCTCCCCAGTGTTGTTAGAACCTACCTGGGCCCCATAGTAAAATCTGGCGGTGTGGTCAGTTTCCACCCTGCCCCGCGCGGTGATCCACTCCCCGTGTTGCTTGGTACACCATCCCCAGCCCGCTGGTGTTGTTTTTGTGCATCGTCCACCTGTTCCCGAGCCGTCCGTATAGAAGCTCATTCTGGCGGTGTGGTCAGAGTCAGAAGACCCATCCTTACGGCTACTTTGCGGGGAGCCCCGAATTTGTGCGTTATAAGCCAGTCTTTGATCAATGCTTACTCTAGAGAAGTCAAATTCTGGGGGCTTTGGTGGTGGGGGGTCTCTACGTGCCAACTTAACCTGCACTTCCGTTACCAGGAGATAATGGTCCGACGGGTACCCTGTATGCAATTTAGATCTACATGAGTTAATGGATGAAAGCCATTGTCTCCTAGTGAAGGTGTGGTCTAGCCGCTGAAAGCGAACGGGGTCGGGTGAGGGATCTACTCGGGGCGGAGGAAGAGGTTGCGCCAGCGGTAAGAAGCTGCGTATTCTGGCCGCTACTTCCAAGGATTGTGATGGCATCACTCTATGTAGCTCTGAATACACCTGCTGCATGATCAAAGGGTCCAAGACGTACTGCGACCAATCCTTTGGGGGGGCTGTTTTATCCCGGAAAGTGATGTGGTGAACTGGGTTGGGTGTTTTGTATGAGGCGACCTCCAGCATATCTAGAAGAAGCATTGTTCGAACGCACAACGAGCGGTTGGATTGGGCGGTGTGGTCGATAGCTTGCGAACCCTTTCCGTATGTGAATGGCCCTGTAACGCCCTCATCATGTTTGTGTTGTGCTTGAAACCGAACATTAAAATCACCCGTAAGATACACTGGTTCTGGTTGGGGTATTTTCGCCACATATTCCTCTAGGGATTCCCAAAACGGTTGCCGAACTGTGTCATGATCATGACCTGAATGTGGCGCATACGCTCCTAACAAGTGTATCCTACCTCCCCTCTTGTTGAGTATGATATGAATAAGCCTATTGTTGACCTGGACTATGTCAGCAAGGTGTGGTCGGATGTCTGGACTCACTATAACCCCTACCCCAGAGTGCTTATCTTTGTTATTACCAGACAAAACGACTAAGTGTTGCTCTGAGGTATAGGAGTAATACGAAGTCGATTTAGTTTCTGATAGGAACATAACATCCAGGTTGTGTTCCTTCATCATAAGCAACAGGTTTTTGAGCTTGAGGGTATCAGCCATACCTTGCACATTCTGACTACCGACTCTAAGCTTGCGATTGTAAGCTAGAGGCGGTGTGGTCTGGGGCCCATTCTGTTTAGGCTTCTTTTTCCGTGTGATTTTTTGCTGCCATAGGACGTTTGTCCTGAACCACTGTGCCCTGTTTTGGGGGGCTTTTGTGGACTGGGGGGGTGTGGCTGCTGAGGAGTCCGCCCTCAGAGCCTTTGTATTTTTGCAGGCCTGCTGCCATTGCCTGTAGCACCTACGAGAGGTCCTACGAGCATTGACTCCCCTGGGCCTATCAATGTGACACCCTCCCTTGTGGGGACACTCTTCGTGCTCTCCAAAAGGAGATCCCGGCTTGCCTCTCGGAGGCGGTGGTCGGCGGTATTCCAGCTGAGGATGAATTCCTTTAATTCTTCGAATTCTAGGGTGTGTTCTTCTACGAAGGGGTTTAAAATTGTGCCATGTACCATTAGCAAGGCGGGTCCTTCTACGTCTACCAGTTCTGGAGGGTGAGGACTTAAGTGGGGTGACACTAGGCGGTGTGGTCTCGGCAAGGTTGACCGACGGCTCCAACCTGAGCAGTGGAGGTGACTCACTACAAACCCCTCTAAACTGAAGCAAGGTATATTTGGAGTACTGGAGATCGGATATTGGGCTAATTGGGAGTAAGGCCTCCAACCTTAGGGTCAACTTGGGTCGGGTGGTGGTCGTGGTATTACCCGTAATAGCATGCATAAGTTTGTTCCTAGTTCTTTGACTACAAAGGCGTTGTGCTTGGTTCTTTGTAGGGTCCAGATCGGGAGTCAGAAAAGAAAGCGAATTAACCCCTGGCTGTATGGGGGTGTGGTCATTGGCCCCTCTTCTCCTGTTAGAAAGTTTCAAAGGTGGAGTGCAGGCGCGCAACGAAAAAGAAACATGCAGAACCTTGCTCTGAGCTCTGACCCTTAAAATGTCGGGGAGCGTGGTGAGCATGCTAAGAGGACCCCGTCAGGCGGTGTGGCCTTGCTTGCCTGCGCCCTTGCTTGTGGGCGGTGGGGCCTTTGCAAAAGGGTTCTCGGAACGTTCCATCTCTACGTCCTCTGCCGCGGCGGTGTGGCTAGCGGCGTCGGGTGCGACGGGCTTCCCTTGGTAGGTGGCGGCTGCAATGTCGCCCACCTGTTGTTCTGGGACGCCCATCTTTTGACAAAGTTCGTCCCAGACGAACGCAACTTGCTCCACTGCGTTGTGCTGGAGCTCAAAAGGGTACGGCGAGAAATAGGAGTTGTGGAGCACTACATTGGACCAATGCTTGCGGGATTTTCCCACAAAGGTCCCTTTTCCGGCGGTGTGGCCATCATTCTTGGCCTGCCGGTAAGCGATACGCTCCATTTCATCCAACTCGAATTGCGTGCCCCAGATCACCGTATTCCAGTGTTCTGCAAAAAGCGTCTCCTCCTTACACCCCACCGTGGTAGGAGGAGAGTGCATGATACGGGTCAGCGGTGTGGCCGTCTCCAACCGGGCCTGAAAGGAGCCTTCGGCTTCCTCGTAAAAAAGCCGACACCAGGCGGTGTGGTCGGGTTTAAAGTCCGGACCCTCGACTGGCTCCATAATTGTGAGGCTTTTCCAAAGGATGATGAGCCTCTTTCCCTGTGTTTCAGGGTGTGCATTCAGCACCGAAATGACGACCCTCAGTGGCATCTCTAGTTTTCGCTGCCACTGAGGTGAACAAGGTGAGACGCGGACGTGCTTGCCGGGTGACTGGCACCGTGGGGGCGGTGTAGAGAGGGGTTCCACCCTGCCCTCCATACCGCTTTAAAAATGCCTGCCGAAGGTCCCAGGATTTGAAGTGCAGCGTCGTCATTCCACTCCAGAAGGTACCCTGGGGTACCGTGGTAGGGTCCGTGTTGAGGATATTGAACCACATCTGCGCGTGCTGGGCGGTGTGGTCGGCATCCTCGCGAAGGAACCCGCGGTTGCGCAGGAAATTCTGTGCCTCTGGGAGCTGCTCAATCATCCAGCCGATCATGAACTCACGTTGCTCCGGCTTGAGACCGTTGGGCCAGCCAGTTGTGACCAGTAGCAAGCCGCACGACCTCTTCTGCTCCGAGCGATTGTCTGCCGTCATGAAGGCCAGTTCACGGCGACAGCTAAAGACTGCGTCGTTCACCTTGAGCAACGCACTTTCCAGCTGCAGCACGAGGCCGTACATTTCAGGACGCACCACTGCCTTGTGGTACCCACGAACGATGCGCAACACGTCCTTGGCGGTGTGGACAGGAGCGGCCAAAACCTGCTGCACCGATTGCGGGTTGTTCACATCTGCGCCCACCTCACCGGCTGTGACTTGGAAGGCCGTTTCATCTTCCAGAAGGGTTGGTGCCACCAATCCACTCACCGGGCCGTCTGTCGGAACTGGGGTGCCCTCCTGCGGTGTGGTCAGCCCTGAGGCGACCGGCGTGGGGGGCTCACGCCTCTTGCGACTGTGCTCCTCAAAGAACGCCCCCTGTACTGTACGGATCTCCGTTCTGCCAGCGTAGAACTCCCTTTGCTGTTGGAAGGCTGCTTGGAACTGTTCCTGGCTTCCACGCGCTGGGTCTGTCATGGCTTCGAAGATAAGTGAAACTTGCCTCTTAGAGGCGGTGTGGCCAAAGGGGAGGCCTCTCGAAAACTGGCACGTGCACTACTTGCAAGCTGGCTAGCCGAAAGCCTGGGTTCAGGGTTTAGGGTTCAGGGTTTAGGGTTTAGGGTTTAGGGTTTGGGGGGGGGGGAGGGGGGGTGGCTAAAGAAAAGCCTCACTTGCAGGCGACGACGTGCTGCTGTTCCAGGATGCTGCGCTGTACAAAGAAATGGGTTCCAAAACGTTCGGTGCTGCTAGTGAACAAAAACAGCTCGATGCGGTCAAGCTGGTTCACTGGCCTAATCTCTGACGTAAAATGTGGCACATCAGAAGCAACCCACCTCCCTTCCACCCCAACCCTCCCACAACTCCCACAACCCCCACGCCCGCACCCCCTCCTCCTCACAACAAGAAGAAGAGACATAGACTATCTTAGACATGCGCAGCTTCAAAAGCCAATCAAGCAGAAAAGGCCTCACAAGACGAGTCAAGCGCCCGCATATGTCAGCTGTGAACGTTCGGGGCGCGCGAAAGACGGGATGCCACCTCTGTGAAGATTTTGAGGATTTCCCTCAAGTGACGGGGTCTGAACTTGGGGGCTTACTCTTCACCTAATCTATATTTGCCATGGCGAGCTACCGCGACAGCATGGTGGAGTACGGCCAGCTGCTGAGATCCCCCAAGTTGGACCTCAGCATGTTCGACTTGAATCCGCCCGATCCAAAGCAGCTCTTTCAAGACTGGAGTGTCTTACACTGTGTAAGCCGCCTGTTTTGTGGCTTGTCCTTCCTGGTCGTCTTGGCGATCTCGGAGCTCAACAACTTCGACATCCCGGGTGCCATCTCGTTCCTCATCGTAGCCCTGGGCGTGTCCATGTATGCCTTCTTGCTCAGCCATCTGCCCTGGCACTGTGTCGTGAAGAGATCAGGTTGTTGTGGGCCTGGCTACATTCTGTGGGGCTTGGTCTACTTGCTGGGCTCTGTCTTCATGCTGGAGAAATGGTATCACCTTCTCTTGATGGGCGGCCGCATTATCCTAACAGGCGATGGGATGGAGCCTCGGCATCACTTCTCCACCAGCCTTGCCCTCGGCCCTTTTCTCTTCGGCATTGCTGACCTCTTCATGTTCATCGCGTGCTTTCAGGCCTCGCAGCGGGCGCGGGCACGTGAAACCTTGGCAGCGCCCCTCTTGGACTCATGACCAGCCACGTTCAACCCTAAACCCTAAACCCTAAACCCTAAACCCTCACCGCGGGACACGCAGCCGGGGGTTGACTTGCCAGATGTGCAGCGGCGCAGAAGGTGGTTTCAAAGTCAACGCCCGGCGCTTGCATCCGAACCGAGGGGTCTAAGGCTCCAAAGGTGTGCGCGTGGCTATTTCTAAAAACGGACCTGACTCTCCTGAGGATTAGGGTTGTGATACATATATATATATATATATATGAATAAATACAATGGTTTTTGTGTGTCAACACCGCTGCGCATCTTTCGCTCATGGGCTCTTCAGTTGTAGCCAGTCGATCTGATCGATGGGTAGAGCTCGAGGCGCCCGGCCGGTGCTCAGAACGTGTAACCCGGGTGAGGGTTTAGGGTTTTTAGGGTTTAGGGTTTTTAGGGCTTTTCGGGTTTTTAGGGTTTTTATTGTTTTTAGGGTTTTTAGGGCTTTTCGGGCTTTTGGGGCTTTCAGGGTTTTTAGGGTTTTTAGGGCTTCTAGGGCTTCTAGGGCTTTTAGGGCTTTTAGGGATTTTAGGGATTTTAGGGTTTAGGGGTTTGAGGGCTTGCACGATTTGTCCCGAAGCGTTGGCCATAGGTCATGCTACAGTTGCTGTGGATGGCTGTAGGGCATCATGCAGTTGCGAGTGTGAAGTTGTGCGCTGGCACGCCCTGGTTGAGGCGCATGGGCGGATGGTGAACTGGAACCAGCTGCAGAATGCCCACCCATCCTGCTTGTCTGAATGGCTCTTAGTAGGGAATGAGGGGATGACATAGCCTTTATAATGCCTTAAAGGGTATATATAGGGCCCGAATTCCCTCGTTCCCTACTAAGAACCTGTCAGCATGTGTGTAAAGAAGTTTTGACTTCCGAGCTCAGTAACCCTAGAACTTTACAAACCTTTACAAGGGCTCTTGGGGCCTTTTCAACCTTTGCAACTTACAACCCTTGCCATTCTGTCTCATACAGCCCGAAGAAACCCCTTTTCAGGCCTTCACAACCCCGAAGGAACCCTGGGAGCTCCTTGTGGCTGTTATCTACACAGCTTGTACATCCACAACCCTTGCAACCCTTAGCCCCTAAACCCTAAACCCTAAACCCTAAACCCTAAACTCTAAATCTAACCCCCGCGGAGCCCGAAGATGATCAAATTCCCAATGCCAGGCGACTACACCCGATAGTAAGTCAGGGCCTCGATTGGGAGCCAGCAGACACCCAACTGTTTCAGAGTTTAGCATTTAGGGTTTATAGGGTTTAGGGTGGGCTTAGGGTTTAGGGTTTATAGGTTTCCTTCTTCCAGCATCCCAACTACCCTTTAACCACAGTTGTAGGGTATGTTAGTCCCCCCTTATCAAAGGAGTTGAGGGGGGCAGGGTTTTTTTGGGGGGGGGGGGGGGGGGGGGGTGTTTAGGGTGTAGGGTTTTGCATTTGGGGTCGAAGGTCTCAAGGGTATCCTTCAGCTTCAAGCGTTCGTCGCTACGGGGCGGCAGATGTATGAATCAGGGGTGTGTAGAAGCATCATCTGAGCATATAAACCCTAAACCCTGAACTGTAACCCTAAACCCGAAACCCTAAACCCCGAACCCTAAACCCTAAACCCTAAACCCTAAACCCTAAACCCTAAACCCTAAACCCTAAACCCTAAACCCTAAACCCTAAACCCTAGACCCTAGCTAGACCCTATAGACCCTAGACCCTAACCCGCTTGCTTCGGTATGTTCACTCCTTAGTGGTTGTAATAGAAGCGTACGGAGTTAACAGAGTGAGCAAGCGAAATACAAACGGATGAATGAATGTGAAGTGAATGAAGGGCGTGAATTTGCGAAGCGAATGAAGTGAAACTTATTTGCGCGCGGACATAGGAAATATTTTCATGCATCCGGGAGTTATTTAGAGAATTCGTGCTTTTTCAAGGGCCATTTAGAAACGATATGGTTGGCCCTTGCCATTACTGTTCACAAACTAGGGGTTCAAAAAGGGAGGTTGGGGCAGAAAAGTCCCGCGATGTGCGCGGCGGGTGTTTGGGAGGGGCTTGTTGCTGGGGTACCTGCTTTACGCGGCGCATGCACCTGGGGGGGGGCCCGAGGCCTCGGCGGGTTGCAGCCTATAAACCCTCGGCCCGGCCCTGAACCCTCAACTCTAACCCCTAAACCCTAAACACTCAACCCTGAACCCTAAACCCTAAACCCCAAACCCCAAACCCTAAACCCTAAACCCTCCAAAGCTGGCCGCTCCGGCCTGAGGCCCACTCCCGGGTGGCTGTTCAATGAGATTATAAGAGATGCGTAGCCCTCAGCCTGCTCATTTAGGGCGCAAGCTCAGGGGTGAAAGGGTTACGGGTTTAGGGTTTAGGGTTTAGGGTTTTAGGGTTTTAGGGTTTAGGGTTTTAGGGCTTAGGGCTTAGGGCTTAGGGCTTAGGGCTTAGGGCTTAGGGCTTAGGGCTTAGGGCTTAGGGCTTAGGGCTTAGGGCTTAGGGCTTAGGTAGGGTTTCGGGTTAAGAAGGTTTAGGCTTGAGGCTTCGAAAGGTTTCGGGCTGAGGGTTGAGAAGGTTTAAAGTTAAAGGTCAAGAGGGTTTTGGGTTGGTTTATAGGGTTTAGGGTCAAGAATGGGCAGTTCTCTAAATTGTGGGAGTTTAGGGTTCAGCATTCTCTAAGTTATGGTTCCTGGCAGCTTATGGAGCTCTTTGCTTGTGCACTTGGGGTATCCAGGAAGGGCCCATACATAATTCACAAGACTGCCCATTGGTTGCACGAGGCGGGGATGGCTGGAGCTCACTCTTCAGCCTTCTGCCGACATGTGGGAACTGGTAGACCGAAACAGTCGAGGACAGAGGTCAATCTCCCATAAGGCTATAGGTTTCCGGGGGGTCTTAGAGGTCTTAGGGCCTGTAGGCTTGCAAGTTCACTTGCCTGTAATTCCCGGACCCCGAGGTTCTTTGTCAATATATTTCTAAATACTAAGGCACCTATATTATGTATGTCTCCGATTCCCAGCCTGACTTCGGCAAGGTGCGAAACAGTCCCAAGGACGGGCGCTTGAGTCTCCAAGCCACGTCAGATGGATCAGGGTTCAGGCTCAGGGTTTCTTAGGGCTTGTGCGCAAAGGGTAATTAGAGGTACAGAAGGGGCCCCCCTTTTGCAGGCCCAAGTGAAATGACCATGCAACTACCCCAAGATGTGCTGTGGGCAGATGCAACTTGGCGTTTGCCATGCAGGACACGCCGGACGTGGCGGAGTACTTGATGCAGTGTGTCTGCAGTGACCAACTCAACATACAGCTCAAGGGGGCGGGGCCCTTAGCGTTGCAAAGCTTCCGGGTCTCAAGTTCCTTGAGCTCACGTAGACCCTGACACACTCCGCCTCGCCTAAACCTTGCGTAAACCCTACAAGCCCAAAGCATTCTGGGGGTTCCGAAAATAGGGGAACCCTTCTTGTACTTCCCTTTAAGGGGATTCTATTCTAATTTAGGGTAGAAATGGGATACCCCTGTTTTTGGGAAATACCCATCCCTGAGCCATGAACCGGCCTATTCGAGCCTGGCAGTGTTCATCATGGTGCCTTAGATGCACAGGTTCTGTGCATCAAGCACATCGCCATGGAGGACTCCGTTTTGGGGGCTTCAAGGGAAGAAGCCTCCCACACCACCCCTTCTCTCAACCCTAACCCTAAACCCTAAATCCTAAACCCTAAACCCTACTCCCCTCCCCTCCCCTCCCGGTCTCTTTCCCTGAAACCCTGTAGATGCCGGAGGACGTGACCTTTCAGACGTATCTTCTTTCATGCCCGGGGGCCGGCAGCTTAAGTGCGAGAGCTTCTTTTTTTTGGTTGATGTTTTTAGGTTTTTAGGGTTTAGGGTTTAGGGTTTAGGGTTTAGGGTTCATCTAGCTAGGTTTTTAGGTTTTTAGGGTTTAGGGTTTAGGGTTTACTTAGCTGGGTTTTAGGGTTCGTAGAGTTGGGTGGGGAGGTCGAGGGTGGGGTCTTGATGAGTGCGTACGGAGGTTTGGGGTTGCGGCTTGTTCTGTTTACGGAGCAGAGGCCTATGGAAGATACTCCAAGCATCTCAGAACCTTATAAACATCCATCAGGGTTCCACCTGGTGGGTTACGTAGATGAGGTAGGGTTCTTGTTGGCCCTTATGGTTAGGCAAACAAAAAATGGGCTGCGTAGTACTGGAACTCCCTGAACCCTGTATCCTCCCTGAATGCTGTATCCTCAGCCTGAAGCAACCCTAAACCCTAAACCCTAAACCCTAAACCCTAAACCCTAAACCCTAAACCCTAAACAACCCCCTGTAGGCCTTGAAGATCCTCGAAGACATCGCGGCGCCGCCCATCGTCCCCCAGGACAGCGGCAGGGCTCTTGCTTCCAATCGGCCTTTCTTCTGGTTCGGGCACACTCGTCGTCTCGTGACCATTTGGCGCCCCTAAACCCTAAACCCTAAACCCTAAGCCCTAAGCCCTAAACCCTAAACCCTAAAACCCTCAACCCTAAACCCGAAACCCTAAACCCTAAACCCTAAGCAGATCTTCAGGCGAGGGCCATCGAGCCCCAGGAGGTGCGAACCGTCCGCGACGCGACGAAGACCGCCCTGGCGCGAACCAGCTTTGAAGTTTCGGGAGGGGGGTTTAGGGTTTAGGGGTTCGGGTTTCGGGTTTGGGGTTTGGGGTTTAGGGTTTAGGGTTTAGGGTTTAGGGATGCCTGGGCCTGATGGCGTAGTGCGGGAGTCTGGGCAGGAGTGCATTGAAAGGTGTTTAGGCCATGCACTGCTTGCATTCGAAAGCGATGCTCTTGAAGGGGGCAGCGCCCTTGTGGCCCTAAACCCTAAACCCTAAACCCTAAACCCTAAACCCTAAACCCTAAACCCTAAACCCTAAACCCTAAACCCTAAACCCTAAACCTCCAAGCGCTCCCAGCTCCCAGCCGCAGCCAGGAAGCCATCCGAACGCCGCACAGCGTGGAAAAGTCGACCGCCGGCCCGGCTCTTGCCGGATTTGGGGGTTGAGGGTTTTCGGGTTAAGGGCTTGCAGGGTTTAGGGTTTAGGGATTATGGTTTAGGGTTTTGGGGCTGAAGGGGTTGAGGTTTTTGGGGTTTAGCGCCTGTCGGATTTAGAGTTTAGGGTTTCGGGGTCTGTGGCTTATAGGGTTTAGGGTTAGGGTTTTGGGGTTCAGGGCTTCGATTATGGCCACTGCAGCCATTCGCAACGGTCTACCGCATATGGCCCCTCAAAACCTTGCTACCTCCACGTAGGAAGCCCCCAGGAGACACAGCGAGGCACTTGTCGCAGCATCAAGCAAGACTGCAACCACTCCTCATACCTGCTTTACCCTAGCCCTAAACCCTAAACCCTAAACCCATAAAACACGGAACGGAGAAGAATTCAGCAAGCCCTGGAGCCTTGTCCCGGTACAATTCCTCTCGGGCTTAGGTTTAGGGTTTAGGGTTTAGGGTTTAGGATTTAGGGTTTCGGGTTTCGGGTTTAGGGTTTCGGTTTTAGGGTTTAGGGGGGCTTGGGGGGGTTGCTTAGAACTTAGGGTTTTAGGCTCAGGGTTAGCGGGGGAAAGGGTGGGTGGGTTCATCGGTTATACTGGAGGTTTGTAGAGTTTCATGCGCCTCCCTAAACCCGAAACCCTAAACCCAAAACCCTAAACCCCAAACCCTAAACCCCAAACCCTAAACCCCAACCCCAAACCCCAAACCCTAAACCCTAAACCCTAAACCAGTTCAAGCCCAATCCTTGGTGAGGTGCTTCGCTCAAGGCGCGATGCCAGGCTCGAGGGGCGCCAGAGGGATCAAGGGCTCTGAGACATCCTACGTGGGGTTTAGGGTTTCGGGTTTAGGGTTTCGGGTTTAGGGTTTCGGGTTTCGGGTTTCGGGTTTAGGGTTTCGGGTTTAGGGTTTAGGGTTTAGGGTTTCGGGCAAACCCCAAACCCGTTGCTGAAGGCTTCAGCCTTCACGTGCGGCTCGGTTCTCGTAGGGCTTGTCGAGTGTATGTCGTCTGTTTTCTAGTGGCAGGCATTAGGGTCACTCAGGGCTTGCGCCTTCTCAGACGAAGCCCGCTGAAGACCCAAAAGCCTAATTACACGATCTGTGGCCTGATGTGAGAAGAATGGCAGGGCTTTGGCAACTACGAACCACCCCCGGAGGACACCGCCGTGGTTTGGGCTCAGGGGTTTAGGGTTTAGGGGTCAGGGCTTAGGCTTTGGGCTTTTGGGTTTATAGGGTTTATAGGGTTTATAGGGTTTATAGGGTTTATAGGGTTTAGGGTTTAGGGTTTAGGGTTTAGGCTTTCGGCTTAAGGACTTTGCTGGCGGTCGATCGGGGTTTAGGGTTCTGAGGGTGCTTGACGTTTGTCATCCGAGATCGTTGCTGTTGCAGGCCGCTGCGGGTTTAGAGTTCAGAGTTCCCTAGACCCTAAAACCCTAAACTCTAAACCCTACCCTATAAACCCTAAACTCTAAACCCTCTACACCTAAACCCTACACCCTGTTAGGGCCTGGTGTTCCCTCACAGCCCTTGGCCCCCTGGACGCCCCTTGCAAGGAAGAGCCCGCCAAGAAGAATAACATCGCCGGCCAGGCGCGCTCCCAGATGACCTAGACCCACGGGAGGATCGAACCCTAAACCCTGAACCCTAAGCCCTAAGCCCTAAGCCCTGAGCCCTAAACCCCTAGGCTTAGGAACCGGAAAACAGTGGATCCAAGAGTTAAGGAAAATTAACTCTGAAGTTAATTGACCGGCATCGGGCCGGCTCGACGCCCCTTAGGTCCAGCACAATTAACTCTCGATTTAATTGCCTGTTAACGTCGCGCGACGTAGCATGCCATGCCGGCAAGCTGCTCAAGGAAAACAATTAAATCAGGATTTAATTGTTTCTTCTAGACGGCCCCAACCCGCAGAAACAATTAAATCAGGATTTAATTGTTTATGCTAGACGACCCCAAACCGCAGCAGAATTAAATCAGGATTTAATGGACATGAATCAACGACCAAGCCTGAATACGGGTCGGATCGGGAACCACCTTAACCACTAGGACACCCATGAAATTAGGGACAACCAGATAACGAACTACAGCTACACCGGAATGTTGATGGCGTGGCAGTGAGGTGATTGTCGAAGGGAGCTCACAGTCCCTCGGAGGTCTTTTCGTGGGCACGACAAGCATATGTCGACTGGCAGGAAAACATGCACGCGCGAACGATGTGAGACATCACGTGGTGTGACACTTCACTCGCTACTCCTTCTAGTTAGGAGCCGCCCCGTGGCTCATTTTTTTGTTGTTCTTTTTACGGGGTCTTTGTTCTTTTCTTTTCGCCCAGTAATAGTAATAGTAATAATTATAACGGTAGTAACAATAAGAAGAATAACAATACTACTCATAACAATAGTAACAGTAATACGAGTAATAGTAATAGTAATAATAATAAGAAAATACTAATAAGAAGAAGAATAAGAATAATAATGGTAATACTAATAGTAATAGTAATATTAAGACTAGTAGTCAAAATAATAATAATAATAGTAGTAAGACTCATAGTAATAGGAATAATAAGACTAATAGTAATAATAGTAATAATAGTACAATTAAATCATGATTTAATGGTGCAAACAGGTACCAATTAGCACAAGTCTTTGCTATACCATTAAATCACGATTTAATTGTCTTCCAGTCAAACGCAAAGAAACACAATTAAATCACGATTTAATTGTGTTTTTGTAGGGAGAAGGTATGTCGAGGTAGGTCAAAACCCAACCCAAACACAACAATTAAATCAGGATTTAGTTTTTTTTAACTTCTGGATCCATGGGTTTTCTAACCCCCTGAAGGGTTCAAGCTTCATGATCTTTCAGTTTTTGAATTCGGATCTACTTTTTGGATCCTCCCAGGGGGCTGGGAACAGACTCGCCCCCTCCGCTTTTCCTGCAGTAGGGGAGGGGGAGGACGCAGACCCGAAACTTGAGACCCAAAATCCTAAACGCTCGCCACGTGATTAGCATACTGGGGAGGGTCTTGGGAGTTCCCGGGCACAATCCGATTCAGGCAGTGCTTTCTAGGGCTCAGGGTTTCGGGTTTCGTTTCTGAGTTCACTGTCGAAGCTGCTTATTCTCGCAGTTCGAGAAACCCTAAACCGTAAACTTTCCTAAGCTCCAAACCCAGGCAGCAGACTTTGTCGCCGACTCGATTGGCGCTCCGGCCGCAGTACCTCTCAATCTTCTTGGGGTTTGGGGCTTGTTGGGCTTGGGGTTTAGGCACAGGCCTGAAAGCCTAAACCCTACTTGACAGAAGCCCTCCAGGCACCTTAAGTAGATGAAGCTACTCAACACCCAAACCTTCAACAAACTCTACACCCTAAATCTTTTCGGGCTCAGGGTGTTGTTTCACCTAAACCTTACCAAGACCAAAAACCCTAAACCCTAAACCCTAAACCCTAAACCCTAAACCCTAAACCCTGAACCCCTCTAAGGTGATATGGTGGACGATTTCAAGGAGAAGGGCGCAGTTGGCGCTCTCAAGGCTGGCCAAATAGCCGAGGAAACCTTTGAAGAAGCTTGGGGGGGTGGAGGGGTTACTTGAATAGGTTTGCGTTTATGATCTGTCTCCTCTCGGGGGCTCTAATCTCGCACTGCGAATCCGCGTCGTGCAACCAGGGGGGGAAGTCGAAATATAGGGGCCAACATTTAGACTTAGACACTAATTAAATACCCTGACCACCCCCCAAAACGCAATTTTTAAGACCCGGACCTTTGGCCTGCAAGTATGACTCCTGCTTGAAGCGAGAGCTTCTTACGTTCAGGGCTTGTAGGGCTTCTCAAACCCTAAACCCTAAACCCTAAACCCTGGCCCCAAACACATGGCTCTCGGCCTGGATCCTGTGTGCGATCCCGACTCAGAATTGGGGCCCGGGGCAGTTTTAGGGTTTAGGGTTTAGGGTTTGGGGTTTAGGGTTTAGGGATTAGGGTTTAGGGTTTAGGGTTTAGGGTTTAGGGTTTAGGGTTGCCCACCCTAAGCCCCAAGAGAGAATCGCCCCCAGGATGCCACCGTAGACGCTCTGGATCTGGTCTTGGATGGCGTGGACACGATCTGGGGCTGGGTGGCCGGTTCAAAAGAGGCTGTGGGGGTTTAGGGTTTAGGGTTTCGGGTTTAGGGTTTAGGGTGTAGGGTTTCGGGTTTAGGGTGCGTGGGTGGGGCTTGCTTGCGGCTTAGGGTTGTAGGGGTTTCGGGGTGATGCATGCAAACCCGCCAAGTCAAGCTTTCAATGGCTTAAACAAAGACAAGAACCCCAACCGTGTCCTGCCAAGGTGCCAGCGAAACCTGGTTTAGGGTTTAGGGTTTAGGGTTTAGGGTTTAGGGTTTAGGGTTTAGGGTTTAGGGTTTAGGGTTTAGGGTTTAGGGTTTAGGGTTTAGGGTTGCTTGTAGGGTTTACAGGGTTCAGCACATGGGTTTCTAGTCGCTCTATCGTGGGCTACAAGACTTGCAACCCTAAGCCCCAAGCCCTAAGCCCTAAGCCCTAAACCCTAAACCCTAAACCCTAAACCCTAAGCCCTAAGCCCTAAGCCCTAAACCCTAAACCCTAAACCCCAACCCTATGACCCCCAACCTAAACCCCAAACCCCTACCCTAAACCGATTCTTGCCAGACCGACCAGCCGCGTATTTGTCAGCCCACAAACCAGCCGCAGATGCCGGGGTCCTCAGACTCGAAGCTGTTGGGTTTGAGGATTTTAGGGCTTTTGGGTTTATAGGGTTTATGGGGTGTGTGGGGGGTTTTTAGGTTTCAGGGTTTTAGGGGTTCAAGAGTTGTAGGGGTTTGAGGCTTTGAGGCTTTGAGGCTTTGAGGGTTTAAGGTTTGAGGGTTTGAGAGTTTGTAGCACTCGAGAGTTTATTTTTTAAGGGAGATCAAATAGAGTAATCCCTTGAACATTTGGGCGAGAGGGCTTTCTTAAGATGTGGCTTCACACAATCTGTGGTTTCTGGGCCCGTCTGGGGTTTAGGCTGCCAGCATACAGAAAAGGCTTTAGACGCAGATCCTATACCCAAAACGTCTTCCTACACCACCCCCAAATTTGCCCCACAGCTTTTCCCTAAGGGGGTATTTTGACAGAGGGATGGATTGCTGTCGGAGCTTGTAGGGATCACGGTTGTGTGACCCAGGCCAGGGCAGTTTGCGGGCGCAGGGCGCAAGCCTCGGATCATCCCATATCCTCTGGGGTGTCAGGCTTTAGGATTTTTCCCCCGTTGTTTTGCAGGGATGTGCGTTTCAGATATCTTGGCTAGAGGATGCACAAGGGGATTATATATATGTATATATTTTTTCGTGGGAAGAGAGTATAGGGATGAGTATAGTGGTTTCCGGGTTTAAGGGTATAGGGCTGTGGGATTCGGTCGGTGGAGATTACAATGTTTGAGGCGTCACTCTATAGAGGGTAGGTGAAGACTTGCGTGCGAGCTTTGCCAGCGGCTGAATGGTTTCACCTCGGATCTTGTTCCTGTGTTTATGCTTACGATGGTTGTCATATTGAGTTATCACGGTCATTTCGTTCCCGTGCTTGTTTTCCTTGGGCGGCTGAGTAGGTAACTAAGACCCTAAACCAACCCTTTAGCACTAACACTCCTCTAGCAAGCTTACGCGAGTGTCCTTAGGGCTTGGAGTTAGCTTGTTTGGGAAGTTTTCTTTGGGGACATTTAAGACCCTAAACCCTAAACCCTAAACCCTAAACCCTAAACTCGATGGGTCTAATGGGGACTTTAGACAATGAAACTGGCAGGCCGACAGCTGGGTATTCAGCTTCGCCTCCGGCGTCGCGGCCTCGGATCCAGGGTGAGACTTGGAGCTTCGATGCTTCGTGGGGGGGGGGGGGGGGGTTAGGGGTTAGGGTTTAGGGTTTAGGGTTTGGGGTTTGGGGTTTGGGGTTTGGGGTTTGGGGTTTGGGGTTTGGGGTTTGCCCTGCACCCTGACGCCGACAAGCCCTGCCCGCAACTTGATAAGCCAGTTGGCTTCGACCTTTGACCTCTAGACCACTGGCCCAATGCCGCTCATCCGGAAACCGACAACAAAAGTCAAAAGTGCTAGACCCTAAACCCTACACCCTAAACCCTCAACCCTAAACCCTAAACGCTAAACCCTAAACCCTAAACTCTACCTCTAAAGCCATACTTCTGAACCCGCAACCCTCAGCCTTCACCCCTAACCCTCTAGCCCTACAAGCCTTAAACTCTGAACCCGAAACCCTGAACCCTGTGAGCCTAAAACGTCTAAACTAAACCTTAGCCTCCAAAGTCCCATAGCCCTAAACCCTATAAAGCAGGGCTTTTCGGGTTTTGGGCTTCAAGCCCAAAGCCCTATTGGAAAACCCTAAACGCCCTAAACACTTTAATCTGCCTCAGGGGATTCCAAGCGCCAGCCGCTCCACCGAAGACCTCAGCGCCCGGCCCACGGGCATTGCGACAGGGGACCTTGTGGTGTAGGGTTTAGGGGTTGAGGGGTTGAGGGTTTAGGGTTTAGGGTTTAGGGTTAGGATGTAGGGCTAAGGGTGTATAGGGGTTCAGGGTTCAGGGTTTAGGATAGGGAGCCCAGGGTTTTAGGGGTCAAACGCTTACTTAGTGTCGTCGTGTTTGCTAGGGGGTTTACTTGTCAAGGTGCCGGGGCTCTCTCGAGTTTGGGGCTTCGGGGATCTAGGGTTGATTTCCTTCTTGCTTGCTTTCCGGGCTTAGGGTTTAGGGGTTTAGGGGTTTAGGGTTTAGGGTTTAGGGTTTAGGGTTTAGCTTCTTAATTGTTGATGTTTGGACAGCTGGCCCCACCATGACCTCGTTGGTGCTTTCCCTGGGGTTCTCCAGCGTTTGCAACAGTGTCGCTTGCTCAGGCCTACAAGTGCTACCCAATCCTGTCCCTTGATTAGCTCTAAACCCCCGACCTTCCAACCTTTCCCTAAACATCCCTACAGACCACCTCCCTAAACCCTAAACCCTAAACCCTTAACCCTTAACCCTAAACCCTTAACCCTAAACCCTAACCCTCAAAGCCCCCCAAAAAGCTCCTTTAGGAACCATTACGCTGCAGCCTTTGGAGGGGGCGTTGTTGGCCCTAGCCCCGGAAGCTGCTGCTTTTCGGGTTTAGGGTTTAGGGTTTAGGGTTTAGGGTTTAGGGTTTAGGGTTTAGGGTTTGGGGCTTCGGGTCTAGGGTTGCAGGGTTTAGGGTTGAGGGCTTTGTTGTTTGAGGGTTTTCCGGCTTTCGGGTTCATTGGCTTGAGGGCTTCAAAGCTTCCGGGCTTCAGGAAGTTTAGGGTGTTAGGTGACTTGTGGGTTTAGGGTTCCGGGTTTAGGGAATTTAGGGGTATGGCGTTTCCTGGTGAAGTGCCCTGGTCGCCGAAGACCCTTTTCAGGCTCTGAGGCCTTGACCCCACAGCCCTTCCCTAAACCCAGAACCCAAAAGGTAAAAAAAAAGAGGGCAGCTCTGAAATCCTACAACTTTAAACCTTGCAACCCTAAACCCTAAACCTCCAAAATCCCAAACCCCAAACCCCAAACCCCAAACCCCAAACCCCAAACCCCAAACCCCAAACCCCAAACCCCAAACCCCAAACCCCAAACCCCAAACCCTAAACCCTAAACCCTAAACTTTAACTCTGAACACGGAGGAGCAAACAATCCGGTGATGGTGGGCGGACTGCCGAACAGCCAGTGGCGACCTTGAGCTTGCTCAGGGCTGCCTAGTCTTGGGTGCATTCAGGAAGGGTTTAGGGTTTAGGGTTTAGGGTTTAGGGTTTAGGGTTTGGGGTTTGGGGTTTAGGGTTAGGGTTTAGGGTTTAGGGTTTAGGGTTTAGGGTTTAGGGTTTAGGGTTTAGGGTTTAGGGTTTAGGGTTTAGGGTTTAGGGTTTAGGTTTTAGGGTTTTAGGGTTTAGGGTGGGTTTTAGGGTATCGGGCTCTTCCACTTCGTGTTGTCGACGCTGCTTGGGACTTGAGTTGGCAGCCCAGTGGTACCGTGTTGCCCTTGTTTCGTTCAAGGTTCCCTAATCACCAAGTAGCCAACCCGAACAAGGTCACCCGTGTTGTAATCTGGTTACTGCGTTATATTAACGTCCTAACATTCACAACCTAGTTTTTCGTTCTAACATTTACTTGTTTGAATGCTCTCTGAAATCTAGTCCCAACCAACAAGGCCGGTGGTTTGGAGGGTTTATAAGGGTTGAGGGTTTAGGGTGAAGAGCTTAGGGTTGAGGGTTTAGGGATTAATTTCCCACACCCTTCAACCCCAAATCTGATTGGGAGAGGCCTGCACAAAGTTACGCCGCCGGCCCGTCCGTCCCGACGCCGACGCCGCGACGTCGCAGACAGGGGAGGGAGGAGGGAGGGGGGGGGGGGGGGATGGATGATCGGCGTTAGGACACATTTTAGGGTTCACCCGAAACCTCCAAACCGTAAGCCCCAGGGGTTGGGCACACTTGGGGGCTGTATATAGATGCTTTGAGAAGGGTTCTGTCAAGAGTTCGAAGGGGTTGGTGTAGTTAGGATGACGGAAGAGTTTAGGGCCTTTGGGGTTGTGGCTTGTGGCTATTGGGGAACGGTACGCCCGGCTGAGTTGGTTGTTGTTGAGGCTTGGTCTAGTAAAGCTTCCAGGCCCCCTCCCCCTAAACTTTCCCTCCCCTCGCGCCTCTCGCTCTCTCTCTCTGTCTCTCCCTCTCTCTCTCGCTTCTTGCATGCACGCTCACTCCCTACCCTTACGTGGCCTCGAGCTTCCGATCTCTGAGGGGTGCCACAGCCAAGGCCCGAGCCCGCAGCGGAGCCCCCAAAGCCAGCGCCAGCGCCGATGGTCGACCTCTTGCCCTGGCCTCAGGGTTTCGGGTTTTGCTTTTTTTTGTTGTTTTAATGTTTTGGTTTGTGCCCTGACCTTAGCGTTTTTGGGGCTTGTGGTTAATGAAGTTTTGATGGTTGTTTAAGAGTGGTTTGACTTTGGTTTAAGGTTTTTTTTGGGAGGGGGGGAGTTTAGGGAACAGGGTTTTGCTCGTCGGTGCTGGATGGAGCTCAGAAGACCGAAGGTGCTTTTAGCTAGGGTCCTTAAGACACCGGGGTTCATGCGGGGCAGGTATTTAGGGAACTTGACGAAAGCTGAGGGAGCTAGGGAGTCGTGGGGAGTATTAGGGCCCTAAACCCTAAACCCTGTAAAACCGTTTGGGGTTTAGGGTTTGCGGTGCGGGGGTCTGGTGAGGTCGATGGAGGAGCCTGCATCTTCAGCGAAGCCTCCGGCAGCAGACATCTGAGCTGATCTTTGTTTCCCGCAATGGGCTTATCAGTTCTTAGTTCGTTCTTATTCAGGACTGTATAGGGGGAACATCCCAAACCCTAAACCCTAAACCCTAAACCCTAAACCCTAAACACCTTAAGGGTTTTTAGGGTTTGGGCGGGGCTCCATTCGTGTTTCAACAGGGGTCTGGTATTGTCCTTCTGCTGCGCTAGCCATAGGATTGGAGAAGCGAGAATCCACAACCCTAAGCCCCCGTAGCCAACCCATTTTCGGGGGTCTAGGTAGCATCCTGCATTTTGCCCGAAGTACGCCTTGGAAGCTCGTCCATGGGAGGGAGGGAGGGAAGGAGGTGAAGTTTAGGTGTTTAAAAGGTTTAGGGTTTAGGGTTTAGGGTTTAGTCACGCTCTCCCGAGAGAATGTAGGGCTTGGTCGGTTTAGTCTGGGTGCCTTAGCCTGAGCCCCCCTAAACCCTAAACCCTAAACCCTAAACCCTAAACCCTAAACCCTAAACCCTAAACCCTAAACCCTAAACCCTAAACCCTAAACCCCCTAAACCCTAAACCCTAAACCCTAAACCCTAAACCCTAAACCCTAAACCCTAAACCCTAAACCCTAAACCCTAAACCCTGCCCTAAGCCCTAAGCCCTAAGCCCTAAACAAAACCCAGAAGCCGCGAATTTAGTTGAATGCCGCGCCGAGACTTTCATTTGTCAGGCTCGTGTTTCCATGTCATTGCGCGCTTCTTGGGCTTTACCGGTTCTCCTACGTGATCTTACAGGTGGGATGTTCCCCCTTATACCAACAGTCCTTGATAGGGATTCTAATAGGGGGTACCATAATCCCTATAATCCCAATATGTGATCTTCAAGAACCGAAATTCAGTGTTATGCGAAGTTCAAAGGTTTAAGTTCATTGGAGTTTTTTACAAGCGAGCCAGGACACCTCGGGCCTCGTCTGTCAGCCATGGCCTTTGCCGAACCTCGTCTGCCACCTTTGCCACAGGTGTTCATAACACTCGACGCGAAATCCCCTGACTCGCGGGACACTCTCCGTCGCGCCACCCTCCGTCGCTCCAGCAGCTTCTCGGGCTACGCGCCCTTCGGCATGGGCTTCGCTCGAGCACCTTCGCCGAAGACCCCGGAAGCGACCCGGGGCGTGCCTCTCGAAGACATGACCAGAACAAGCACTGATGAGTCGGTGGACCAGGGCAGGTATGTGGTTTCCTCCATGAAAGTCACGGTCGATCTCGAAGGTACGATTCCAGGGGCGAAGCAGGAAGCCATCCACTCGGAGGGCTCGCAGGACAGGAAGAAGCCTGGCCGGACGCGCAGGCGCCGCGTCCCGACCTCGACGGCCTCGGCCGTGATGCGTGCCCAATGTGCTGGTGCCTATGCCTTGATGAAGGTTCGAGCCACTAGGTGGGACCTTGGTAGATTTTTATAGGAAGCTTCAACTGGGACTTTGCAAGAATCCCGAACACCCCAAACCCGACTAACTTCCTAAGAATTTCTTTCTCAGGGAGGTGCGAGGGGGATTAGGGTTTAGGGTTTAGGGTTTAGGGTTTGTAGTGCAGGGGCCAAACAAGGCCATGATGGCAGCAGACCAGCCGCGGCCTTCACATCTTGAGCGTGCTGCTCTTCCAGCGGGTGCGGCCTCGGCCATATAGGGTCCGAGGGTTCAGGGTTTAGGGTTTAGGGTTTAGGGAACACCCTGCACCAATCACAGCACGGCAGAACTGCTTCTGCAAGGATCGGGCGTTCATAGGTCGGGTAGCTTCCTCTCCCAAGAATTCGACACCTACCCGTGAAAGACTGCAGATTGGTGTGGGCGCGCGTACGATTGTTCAGCACCTCGAAACCCGACAGCCTAAACCCTCAACGATTTGTTTCTTGCAGCCATCCTTGTGGCAGAGAGCCGCTCTTAAGTCCACACTGCAACCGACGTCTTCTCACCTGTTCCCAATGGTGAAGCTCTCTGGCAAAAGTCCTGACATCACGCCCGGACATCACGCAAGTCCGACGTAGACTCTTGCTCTACTAGCTCTACGTATACTATTATTAGAGAATCACTAGAGCATGCTCGTTCAGGGCGGTTGAATTGGGCTGCTGTGGGGAAGACAAGGTGCCCCCACGTGCTCTTGCCACTGCAGCCTGAATCAAGAGACGCTCTTTAAGGGGTGGCGGAGGGGGGATGGGGGTTTCCTTCCGAACCTTACGTCCAGCAGAGGTCGGAGGGTCTGCCACCCCCCCCCCCCCGCCAGCCCATGTCCCAGAGCGGGCCTGAGGTTCTTTTCGTTATAACCCTGGAGAAAAGAAGCTTGGTTTTCTTTTTCATTTCCTAGGTTGCTCTGGGACCTGGCAATCGTTCTACCAGCAAGCACAAGATCCCACATGTGGGCCGGAAGAAGCCGTTCCCGTTACTTCATGGCTGTTGCAGGCCAGCGGTGCAGAGAATTCGATGAAAGTGTCTATGCATGATGGTGTGCACCCGGAATCCACTTTCCATGTGCTCGCAGATCGCTGGAATTTGGGGATTTCCGAACATGGGGGTACCCCTTTTGGGAGTTCCTACAATAGGGATTCTAGCACTTGGGGGGTATATTTGGGGAGCCCCTGATTTGGGAAACTCCCATAGTTCTATGGCCCGCGCCAGCGATTTCGGCTGGAACCATGTCGATCGAACGAGCAGAAACAGTGTTGGACCCACTCTTAGTGCTTGATCCCCTTGGGTGCGAACGGGCAAATGCTCGTTACACGAAGACGAGGGCTGAAACACCAGCCATGTGCCATGTACAAAATGCGTCGAGCCACATCCCACCATCGGAGAGCAAAAGGCATGCTCCACACGAGTCCAGTCCCCCTTATACTAACAGTCCTTCCTCAATAGGGGTTTTTTGTACCCCCTACTACAATCTAGTAGCTAACAAAGGGAGAATCCAACCATGACTACTGGTGCTTTTTCCCTCATCTGCTCGCTTCTCTACACGTCATCTTTCGGATCCTTAAACCAGCAGCTCCTAAGCCCAACTTGACGTCAAAACAGGTATCGTTTCTGCCAATGGAACTGGACCCAAACTCCAAGTTCCAAGACCGTGGGCGTTGTGAACTGCTCCCTGTCTTTAAGCCTGAAGATGCCTAATCCCTCTCATTGTTTCCGGCGTGGTTCCCTTGTCACCAAATCCTTATCCCCAGAATGGACCATGTCTTAGCCAAGCTGAACCCTCAACCTAGAATCCCAATCCCAAAAACCCTCGCTTTCTTCTTCCTCTAGGCTACTGGGGGGCCGCCTGTCACATAAACTCCTCGTAGACAGAAAGCTCGCCAAATACCAGAAGCAGCCCTGAGCAAGACGTATATATGTATGTGAATAATTGATTTGTTTATGTATAAAGGCCAAGAAACAAGAATATACGTATATACAGACACCCCAAAAGAACTGAAAGAAGATCTCGAGGCCCACTAAACCCTAACCCCTAAACCCCAAACCCCCAAGCCCTAAACCCTAAACCCCAAACCCTAAACCCTAAACCCCAAACCCCAAACCCTAAACCCTAAACCCTAAACCCTAAACCCTGAATGAGTTCATAGGCCGATCTCCTCGGCGACCTCGATGCCCCCAGCGCTGCCCCCGCCGGCGGCGCACCAACTCAGGCCGGCCACCTCCCTCCTCGACTTGAGGGTGGTTTAGGGTTTAGGGTTTAGGGTTTAGGGTTTAGGGTTTCGGGTTTCGGGTTTGGGGTTTAGGGTTTAGGGGGTTTTAGGGTGACTTGTTTCCCTTTCCAGAAGCGCACAACCCCCCCCCCCCCCCCCCCCAATGATGTAAGTTTAATTTGTGGAGGTTGCTTTGGCAACGGGGCAGGGCATGAGGTCTACACCCTAAGTCCTAAACCTTGAACCCTAAACCCTAAACCCTAAACCCTAAACCTTATAAACCCTTTTGGCCACCTTTAGGTTGATGATTTGTGCCTAGGCCCGGGAACCCTTGCGACCCATAACTTTGGGAAGAGCCAGGAGCGAAGGTGCAGTCCCCTGAAGATGTTTTGCTACAGGGTTCTGGGTTTAGGGTTTAGGGTTTAGGGTGGGGTGGGTGCACAAATAAACAAGGTTCGTGGGCTTCGATGTCCAACCGGCTAACACTACCACACACCCCAGGCGACCCAGAACATGCTAGACCTTTGATCTGGAGGCCAGGGAGCACCTTGCTGTGACCGTGCTTGAGGGGTTAACAGGCTTGTAGGGTTTATATAGTAGGGTTCAATTGCGGCTTTTTGAGAGTGTATATTATGTTTGGGCTCCTTTTTCAGAGTTAGTTGCATGTATTTTGGTATCCTTTGTGGACACGAAGACATCCGACCCACTACTTCTTATGGGATTCATCGGGTTTCGGGGGTTTACGCGGTTCATTTGTTTTGCCTAAACCCTAAACCCTAAACCCTAAACCCTAAACCCTAAACCCTAAACCCTAAACCCTAAATCCTAAGAAAGTAGTTCCATCCCTATCCATCCCTAAACAAGTAGTTCCATGGCATTTGCAGCTTGCATGCGAGGATTGGACGGTTTTGGATCTGGCAGCCAGCTGAATCTTGCGGACGGTGAGTCCCCTTTGCAGTTGCACTCACTGGTGGACATGGAGGCATCCACATGAAGGATTGTTCAATCCGTTCTATCCGTGACAAGTTGCTTTGGCCAATTTATTGGGTCAACTTGATTGATATAGCGCATCACACATCTTCTCGCGTTCGTTACATGCCATTGATCCAGCAACTGATGCAGATGGCTTTGAGGTGAACAGCTGGCAAGTACGTAGCAGGTCACACCCCCAGAAGTCGCGGACTCTTCGTCATATTCATCTCATAGCCTCTTAGAGACGTTTCACCTCGAACAGTTCGGTGATGTGCGGCGTGTACGCTGGCCCCACTTGACCCCGTCGTTCTGGCAGTAGGATGGCTATGGCCGAGGTCGCTGATCGCTTAATCCGAATGCCCCATCCCCAACCTCTGTACTCATAACGCCCTGATGGCTTCCCATGCTCAGAGGTCGCTGGGGCTTCCTAGTAGCCGCGCACTTGTGCTCCTGCCATGGAGGAGGAAAACAGGCATACGTACTTTCGCAGCATCGACTTGCGAGCCCAACTCCCGTGTGGCTTCGTAGCCCGAGGTTCACATCCCTAATCCCTACACCCTAAACCCTATTATAAACCCTAAGCCGTCAACCCTAAACCCTAAACCCTCCATCCCTTTAATCCGATACCGCACTGTTTCGGTCTCGGGGTGATGGTTCGAGGTGCGAGAGTCCACCGTCAGGCTTCGGTTGGCACCAGGTGTGGTGGTTCCTCATTAGGTTCAGGGTTTAGGGTTTAGGGTTTAGGGTTTAGGGTTTAGGGTTTAGGGTTTAGGGCCCTCGTGGTGACTGACAAGGTGCTTTGCTCCAGGAACACAGTGTTGCAAGTCTACCGTTTACGTGCAGTGCAAGATTTCTAAGATGGCACTCGCTCTTTGACTTAATCGCTTTACACAACCTGAACCCTAAACCCTAAACCCTCAACCCTAAACCCTAAACCCTAAACCCTAAACCTAGTGGCTGAACAGCTGTACACATCAGCGGGGTGTGGAGGGTGCAGGGTTTCGGGTTGCGAAGGCTTTTGCTGCAAGAATTCATGCGCCAAGCAGCTGTGATGCATGCGGCTTCGAGTTCCTAAGTCTGAGTTTAGGGTTTAGGGTTTAGGGTTTAGGGTTTACATGTAGTTTCAAGGCTTCTGGATGTCGGGTGTTCATGGGCGCTCCAACCTGATGGGAGAACATCAGGCTAAGTGGCTCGCACGATGAAACCTACGCCATGTCGCAGACACCTCGTGGCTCTCTGTCCGTAGACAGCAAGTGATCGGGGTAAACGCGCCATGGTATCTGAGGCTCTCCTTCCTTGCTTGGAATGGGTATTTGGGGTAGCCTTTGCTGCAATGATATTGGCAGTACTTCAGTCTCCTGCAATACTTTCAGGAAGCGAGCTCGGACCTCCCCGTCGTACGGAACCCTGTGTAGATCAACCCTAAACCCTAAACCCGAAACCCTAAACCCCAAACCCTAAACCCGGCTTGCCGAAGTTGTGGCTCCTTGCTCTCCCTCATACTACCCCGTCGAGACCGACAGCATGCAAGATTTGCAAGATGCGATATGGATGTCTGTGCAGAGAATATTGGAACGCAGAATGAAAGTTTTATGTGTCTCCCGTGCAACATGTCGGACGTCATATAGTAACTGCGTTTTGAAAGCATATTCTTGACTCTTAGGCTCACATGGTCTATCAATGAAACCTTCGAGCAGAAGTACTGAATTGACCCTAAATGCCCTTAAACATATTCGATATTGGAAACATTAGCCAATCAAAATTTGTGTTAACAGAAACAGTTTTGTTGTTCGAATATTTCACATATCGAATATGTTTATGGGTCCATTCAGTACTTCTGCTCGAAGATTCAAAATGTCTACATGCCGAAGAGTTCTTACCAGATACGCAGTGGAAATTATAGTATAGAGTGCAGCCTTTATGCAGTAATGATATTTACAAGGTGTACTACATTGATTCATATGTCGCTAGACTATGCTGTAGTACAGTGCATAGATCATACATATATATATATATATGTCATACAGATATATATATATATATGTACACATGAATGTTCAGGATTTAGGGGTTGGGTTGTTTTGCCCTGTAGATTTTTCAGACATACCTTTGCTGAACACTCTGGCAAGGCGGCGTCCTCGGGAAGTAGCACGGTGGCATCCAGACAAAAGAGCTCTCATTGGGTCTTCAGAAATGTCGGCGACGAGGCACAAGAACCAGTAGGGTTTAGGGTATAGGGTATAGGGTATAGGGTTTAGGGTATAGGGTATAGGGTTTAGGGTTTAGGGTTTAGGGTTGGCAGAGGTGTGAGAAGAATCCCCTCGGCCCATTCCCAATACATGTTCATCCCCGAGCACCCCGCCCGGGGTCAGAAGCGCACGCGAACTCGGCGAGAATACGCAGCATCTTCGAGATCCCGTTCCCCCCTCCCCTCGCCCCCAGGCCACAAAATCTCAAAGTGGGATGTGCAGACGGCAGGGGCAGGGTTCGGTGCGCGCTGACCCCCCTCAATCTAATCTTTTTCCCTATGCCCTCCCGAAGTCCTCCGAAACCCTCTTTGATGGGTTTAGGGTTTAGGGTCTAGGGTTTAGGGTTTAGGGTTTAGGGTTTAGGGTTTAGGGTTATGGGACTGGGCATAAAGGCCCCCAAGCCCAAGCCCCTCAAACCCAAGCCTAGGCCAAACCCTACAAGCATTCTAGACCAAGCCTAAGCCAAATTAACACCTCAACCACGGGCCCTGCACGCCGCAAACAACAATCCGAGAACCCGTTAAGCAAACCCTAAACCCTAAACCCCAAGTAGCCCCCCCAAACCCTTCAGAACCCCAGCACCACCCCCGAAAAAACGAAACCAGCTATTTCGCGCTCGGGCCCAAGGTTACTTAGGGCATGGGGCTTATGTGGTTTAGGGTCTAGGGTCTAGGGTCTAGGGTCTATAGGGTTTAGGGTTTAGGGTTTAGGGCTTAGGGTTTGAAAGGCTTTTGGCCTGCAGGCGTATGCTTTTTTGGCTCTGCTGGGGCTTGTACAGGGACAGAAGTGTTTGTGTGTATTGTTTTTTTTGTGGGGGGGGGGGGGGGGGTGTAGGTTGGGCTGTTCCCCCTTATACAAACAGTCCTCATTAGGGAATATAGTACCCCCCCTGTTACAATCCCCATTAAGGATTGTTAGTAAGGGGGAGCATCCCAAGCTGTAGGCATTTGGTGGCGCCTAGAGTTTGGGATCAGAGATCAGACTTAGGGGCATGCATGGGCAGGACTGACGGTTGGAACTTTTCTGTCTACTGGTTTAATCATAAAATTTGGCCGGTTTGCCCAGTACCAACCTTCTTGACAAGTTGGCCCAGCTTGCCCCAAACCCTAAACCTTAAGCCCTAGGCCCTAAACCCTTAACCCCGACAGTCCCAGCTGCGGTGGCAGGTCTTGGTGTATGAGGTCCTCGCCACGTCTGGAGAGGAAGTCTCATGCCTGCGTGTTAAGAGCTGAGACCCCCACCCAGGCCCCTAGGACCCCCCCCCCTTACACCCGAATCTTGGGATGTTCCCCCTTATACTAGCATTCCTCAATCCCTTTAAAAGATAAAGGAGTAGCATAGGGGGGAACATCCCAACCCGAATCCCGAAGGAACCGTAATCCGCGCAGAGCATGCGAAGCCCCAACCTTCGGCTGAGGGTTTACGGTTTAAGGTTTAGAGGTTTAGGGGTTTAGGTTTTAGGGTTTAGGGTTTAGGGTTTAGCTTTTAGGGTTTAGGGTGTTCATGTTCCAGACCTTCCTGGGCTTTCGGGGCTTTGGTTTTGGGGAAGTTTAGGGCGGGGCAGCATAGGTGGCATCCTTGCTTTCAAGTTCGTACCCCCCATGCTCCCACTGCAAGCCTCTTAACGAATCCCAAAATGATCACAGCAAGATATGCTGCCCTGTGTATGCTATACATTTAGGTCGCTGGGAAGCCATGAATGCAGGAAATATAGGTGCTCCTGAGACGATCCCACCCTAGACCCCGAAACCCAACTAACCCTCCCCCAAGTCAGGTTGGGTTCTTTGGAGTTTTGGGGGTTTTGCAACCCCCCACACCCCACTTAAACCTCAACCCAGACCCCTAACCCCCCCCAAACCCTAAACCCCAAACCCTAAACCCCAAACCCTAAACCCCAAACCCTCAACCCCAAACCCTAAACCCCAAACCCTAAACCCCAAATCCTCAAACCCCAAACGTCCAAACCCAAGCTTTCTAAGGCCACCGACTCCAGTGAGAGTTTCGAAGATGCCATGGACGCAATCAGTTACAGCCTGAAGGCTCCCAGCTTTGAACTTCTTGGGGGTTTAGGGTTTAGGGTTTAGGGTTTAGGGTTTAGGGTTTAGGGTTTAGGGTTTAGGGTTTAGGGTTTAGGGTTTAGGGTTTAGGTTTAGGGTTTAGGGTTTAGGGTTTAGGGTTTAGGGTTTAGGGTTTAGGGTTTTTGGGGCTTCCGAAGGGTGAAAGGAGAGGCTTGCGGCTTCTATATTCTCAGGACCCAGAGTAGGCCCTGATTCCCTATTTTGGGGGGTTTAGGGGTTAGGGTGGTTT